TCGCCGCTGTCGCCGCATGACAACGACCACAGCATGACCGTGGTGAGTAACAGAGGAGCGTATATATGTAGGGGTGCGTGAGGGAGTGAGTGAGCGCATGCGTGAGTGAGTGAGGGAGGGAGGAGGGAGGGCAGTATGTAGGGGATGGGTGAGTGGGTGGTTGGTGGGTTAGAGGTAGAGTGAGTGAATGAGTACGACGAGTAAGTTGACAGCGACTCGTTCGGAAGCTGCATCCCAGGATTCAGGATGCTCAGCTCGACGTTGCCGCGGAGTTTCTCGCTGCCTCTCGGCATGCTGCACAACGTGCTGCCTGACCCGTTCCCCGAGCTGTCGTCGCCGCTGTCGCCGCATGACAACGACCACAGCATGACCGTGGTGAGTAACAGAGGAGCGTATATATGTAGGGGTGCGTGAGGGAGTGAGTGAGCGCATGCGTGAGTGAGTGAGGGAGGGAGGAGGGAGGGCAGTAGGTAGGGGATGGGTGAGTGGGTGGTTGGTGGGTTAGAGGTAGAGTGAGTGAATGAGTACGACGAGTGAGTTGACAGCGACTCGTTCGGAAGCTGCATCCCAGGATTCTGGATGCTCAGCTCGACGTTGCCGCGGAGTCTCTCGCTGCCTCTCGGCATGCTGCACAACGTGCTGCCCTACCCGTTCCCCAGAGGAGCGTAGAGGTGAGTGAGTGAGTGAGTGAGCGCGTGCGTGAGTGAGTGAGGGAGGGGGAGGGAGGGAGGGAGGGGATGAATGGGTGGTGGGTGGATTGAGTGAGTGAGTGAGTGAGTGAGGGAGGGAGGGAGAGAGGTAGGGGTGCGTGGGTGGGTGAGAGAGGGAGTGAGTGAGTGAGCGAGCGAGCGTGCGTGCGAGTAGTGGGGCGAGGTGTTAACAGGATCAAGGGAAGGCTCAGAATCGTATATTTATTGCTGCGTGGTTTTCCCAATTGAGTTACCAGTAGGTTTGCGTGTTCGTGCATTCGGGAGTGTGTGCGCGCAGTTTTGCGTGCACGCATGCATCCGTACACACGTGGCTGTGTGCATGCTTCGTATCTCGTGAAGGGACGCGCCTCTAACGCATAAACCCTGTTTGTAATATTGGCTTTACTCATTCTCTGTAGCAAGGAACTGAACGTAGGCCTACGCTCAATGAATTTAGGTGTGGTGGTGGGTCAAACAATTTCAGAACCCATAGGTAATACATGATGAAGAAATTCGTCAGCCCATTTCTGAACAAATAAAGCCTTTTGTTTAGCTAGTTTTTTATGTAACAAGTATTTTTTAGCACCCTAACGGAAATTAGAATCACAATGGTTAGGTTGGCCGATCCTTTGCCTTTCGTTTGCTGTTAGCGCAGTTTCTTCGCCCGTTCTCTTGGCCCGTTTTCTTTAGAAGTGCTGCTGTGTGTAGAAAAGGACAATTCGATGGCTCTTTATGGTCGTTTGTGGGCCATTATGATGCATTTCCTGGATTTATGACTCACGCCACGTGGGCAGCGTGGGAAACCTATGGAGAGCGTATATCGCACAGCAAGCGCCTAACATCGCCGATAACGGCGATGCATCAGGAAGTTGTCGCCAGCTTAAACGTACGACGCGAGATATTTCGCGGCATGATCCTGCAGGCGGAGTTACGATGGCTTTCTCACGGCGAAATACGCAGAGATCAGCGAGATATATCACCCATCGGGTCTCCCCTCTATACGACCCGCTATAATAGTTAAATACGCTCCTAACAACTGCTACTACTCGCTCGAACGTGTATATATTTACTCGGCATGATTCGATACCTGACTAATACCGCTAATAGGTGGCAATGCGAGCTCAATCCTGTCTCTGGCTGACATCCAGGTAAAGCCGTGTGCGTAATGCGATGACATCGTGAATGAGTAATTATGTGACAGCGTGGAAGGTCGCGAGGATCAATGATTGACATTGCTAGCCTAGTAAGCTCTAGGTCACAGGCACGCGTCAATACCCGCGCTTGTATTGCGAGGCAGGTTCGGGCAGAAGCTAAGACGAAAGTCGATGCGATGATGCGCCTGCGGCGTGCATGTACACGCGTGCGCGCGCGGACATGTGCGTGATGCGTGTGTTTGTACATATGTTCGTCGTCGAGTACATATATATATATATATATACGTACGTGCACACGCACGTTAGCTACATACCCAGTGGGTATGTAGCACACGCACGCACACACACGCACGCGCACGCACACTCACAAAATCAATTGCATGGACAAACACGTACATGCCAAAGTACACGAATTCGAACACGCACGCACGCACGCTTACACACGCCAGACTTAGCCAGACTTAGCGCAGCTTGTACCGACAGATCCAGTGCTGTTTGAAGTAGCAATTAACGGCCTATCATCAAAGCGGTGCCGGTGTGCGTTTAGGGAAGCAAAGGAGACCCTGGAGACTCGGTTTCCCTGGTGCATGTCACCGTAGATTCGTAGGGCCAACGTTACACGCCTTAGCTTATCTTGCTGGCTGCGCTTCGAATACCATTAGTTGCGTTTAGTCGCATGTGTCCAACCAGTGGATAGTACCAGGAGTTAATAAAGACAAATTGTCTTTATTTGTCTTTATAGTCTAAATTTGTCTTTATTAACTCCTGATAGTACGTAATGAAGCAATAGATAACCTTGTTAGGATACCCTTCATTCTGTCAAATTGTCCTCTTATATAATGAAGCGATATAGGTAACTTCATTAGGACAAGTATCATTCTGTCTCCTCATCCTTTTCATTCGCGCATGTTCATTTCCCTTATCCGGATCTTTCTTCGCGCGTTTATCATCCCCCTCCTCATCCCACTCCCGGGACATCATTCCAGTCTGAATCCTTTACATCCTCATTCTCAGTTTATCTCAGTTATCTTCCACCTTGTTCTCTTTACCCTCCACATCCACGTCAGTCTCCTTGTCCCCCTCTTCCTACTATTATTTATCATAATCAACTTCCTCCTTCTCCTCATCGTCCTCTTCTTCCTCTTCCACCACCACCTCTTCCTTTTCCTCCTCCTTCTCCTCCTCCTCCCCCTCCTCCTCCTCCTTGTCCTCCTCTGCCTACTCCTCTCCTCCCCATTTGCTTCCTCTTCCTCCTCGTACTTGTTCTAATCCTCCCCATCCTCCTTGTTCTCCCTATCACCATCATCTTTCCCCTCGTTCTCTTCGTCATTACGATCCACTTCGTTCTTCCCCTCACCCCATCACCCATCTAATTTTCCCATTGAAATTTATTTGGCCTGCTTTCCGAAATCAGAGTGTATTATGTCGGAGAAGAGCTCTTCTATTGGTGGTCTAAAGGGGGGCTTATGTCGGGCTTGCGAGCCGACTCGACTGGAAGCAACTGGATTTCGAACAACTGGAAGCGATCGGCAACGATTAGTTGCGTCCAGTTGCCCACTGTTCTATTCCGAGCAACTAGTGGCGGCCAGTCGCAGGCAGTCGCGTCGCAGTCGACCGACCTAAGCACTGCAGTCAGGCAGTCGCAGTGAATTGCAGCCAGTTGCTTCCAGTCGAGTCGGCTCGCAAGCACGACGTAAGCCCCCCTTAAGCTACTGCTGACATGGAGGGCATCGGGTATATCGGCTCTACATTTA